GAGGCACTGCAATGCAAACGCGATTCTCCACTGGTCAGCTTGTGCAGGTGTGACGGCCTTCGGGGAATTATTCCCTGTGGCTTTGGCACACAACCAGTTAACTGTCTGGAATCCACAATCAGCGGCGAAATCAGTCGGCATCACGAATGTCTCAAAGCTCACCTCCTGTGGGCCACATGCATCAACAACCAGCTGTTGGACTGTGGTGGCAACATCCGTCGGCATCATCAGCGTAGCTGTCCCCTTCGTCGCCTGAAGACCAAGTGGGAACCAGTGGCTTCTAGCTAAAACTGGGACCATGAACAGGGTCAGATCCTGGGCGAGATCGTGGCTATGCAAGGACTGGAGGGTCCAAGTGGCAATCTGCTGGTCACTGTCGCAGAAGTCATGGAGTTCGAGTGGATCTGCCACCTGATGACCTTGGTTGCGAACGAGCTGAACATAAAACTGCATTTCATCGACTGCAACCAATGGACCTTGAACCAAAAGTCCCTGGAACCTGCTTTGACCCTGAAGTGTCAGGACAGTGGATTGGCGTGCATGGACTTCTGGGCATTTAGGAGTCGTATGTGTGGCTCGATTAGTTATGACGTACCACGCAGACGGCGTGAGCTGACAATTCAACGGGAACGGCGTGCCAGTGAGTGTTGTGACTGCAATAGGCTGGACAAAGCTCGACAACTTTGCTTCGGCTTGGGACAGCTGACCGACGGTTGCACCCGCACACACTTGGATCTGCATCGGCTGGTTTCCTTTGCTGCAAATCGAAACTGTGAAGTTGTCATTCGGCTGTATGAACATTGGGTCCTCCTGATTAGCACACTGCTTGGGGGGGGGTAGACCTCCCGGCCTCTTCCCTCGTGGTGGGTGGCCCACACACAACAGCTGACCTCCCCCGATCGGCTCTCTGTACCCCCGGGCCTCCTTTGCCTTTACCTCGATTGGCCACGCCTTGGTCGTCGGGCAAAGATCTGCCGAGGACGGTGTCGATAGCGTGCGATGCTGCAAAGCCGGCCTCAAGTGCACAGGGATCAGTGGGCTTTGCCTCTGTGGTTGGCAGTGCACCGCCTACTTCAGGAGATGTGGCTCCTGTCTGACTTCCTGGCTGGATGTGAGTGGTACCTGAGGATGGAATCGGCGGAGTGGCACGGGACACCAGGTCCTGAGCATTTCCCCCGGTAGTCATGGTTCGAACCGTCAGCGTGTTGCGGTCTACGTGGGCTTCTACATAGTCAGGGGCCCTCACTTGAGTGGGCCAACATGTATTGAGCTGACTAGGCTTTGCAGCTGACCGATTGGCAAACAACTCGATACCCCCTGTAGGCGAGATGGCTTGGTGCATCAAAGAACCCTCTTCAGAGTCCCCCATCTTGCGTTTCAGGTGTCCTCGCGTGTGGGATAGCTGTGCATGATTGCCCGATCCCTCGGCAGCATCGACTGGGTGGGCTGTGAATTCATATTCAACACCGAACTTCGCATGAATGGCTGCCTGGAACAGAGCTGATTCCTTAGTGTGGGCAAACGGATGGAGCATCTCATCACGTGCAGCAAATGTTTCAACCGCAAGCCGCAACAAGCCTTGTTCGGCTAGTGCATGATGTGTTGGTGCTCCAAACGCATTGCCAAAAGCCTGCATGACTTGTGCTACGCGCCATAAGGCCTGAGCAGGTGAGGCCATTTGGCCAAGTGCTGTGAGATCTAGCCGTAAGTTTCGGCCTTTTTCCTGTTGGATGCGCTTGGTAGGAACCATGTGCAGTACTGCAACCTCATCGGGATGGATGTGTCGCATGTTCGCGATCTCTTGTCCTCGAACAATCGTTGATCCAGTGATCGGGACCAAGGCACCATAAAGTCCTTTCTCTTCGAGTCTTTTTGGAGTAAATCCCCCTGCCCTACAGCCGCAGGCGCAAGCTATTAGTTGTGACCCCCATGCATGGAGTGCAGTCTGAAGTGGTTTGGTTGGATTCACCGCATTGCACCCTAGCCCCCCTGGCTGTTCCGCAAACACTTCTAGCTCAAGTGCCGTCAGCTGCAGTTCATTTACTTGTTCATCAGGCCAAGTTGCAATCTTCAGCAGGAGATGGCGAAAAGAAGGCTTGAAGGCAAGGCTTGGGAAGCTCCTCAACGGTGGCATATTCACATATGGATGGACGATGATCGCCCACCATCTCGTTCGTTTCGCTGGCCAGAAATCTTGCAAATGGCACACCTGTTGCTGGAAGGAATATCCTGTAAGCTTGCAGAAATGCTGGAGCGTACTTTGAACCCAAGTTGATGTCATTGCTTCCTTCGTGCACTCCAGGATCATGGCTGCAGGCTGAAACAAATAGCAAGCCATGACCATTCCTTCAAAGCTCCTGGCCCGTGGGTCCAGCTGTTGTCGCTGATCGCCCAACTGCGAAAAGGGCTGGCAGGCAAAACCTCCGGTCAGAATGCAGGGCCGTTCGGTGTATGGAATCAGCTTCACTTGTACATCGGTGCTATCGATGTCACCCTCAATGACCGGCGTCTTTCGAGTCCGAAGCCAGGCAGCGTATCTGGGATTGATCTCGACATGACATCGAACCTTGCAATGTAGGAGGTGATACCCAGCAGTCATGACTGCGTAGCCGGAGCAGACATCGATGATGTCGTTGACATCTTCACTATGCAGCATTTGGTGGATTTGGACCGAGGCTTGGCTAGCATCCAGGAAGGTCATACCCAACTGTGACCCTTTGCAGGCGTTGATGAGCGTGAATCTTTCGCCTTGGAGTTGAATGCCTTGCAGGTAAAACTTCTGTTCATGCAGAACTGACGTACAGTGGTAGGCTTGTCGAGCTTGGTCATAGAACCATGCGCGTCCGGAAACCGAAAGTAGGGATCCATCTCCTAGTGATTCGATCCAAGGTTCTGGATCAAACCGTGGCGCGCTACCCCCCCGAGTCATTGGCATGACCAGGTGAACCAGCTGGGAGGTACTCGGGCCGACACCTAGCGATGGCCTCCAACCTAAGAGCGATGGCCTCCAACCTAAGAGCGA